AGTACGTGTGTTTAACATGTAGTCTTCCTTGCACAGTCCGCAACTGCTCTTTGTGTTCTGAATAGCTATGAGAGGGAGATTAGTTTACCTGTTTTAAGCAACACTTTTTTCCCATTTGTGGGGGGACAAAAAAAATCAGCTGCTCTTGTACATTCTAGGATGCAGTGATCTCTGATGTTCTTAGTTTTATTTTTCCTCATATAGGCTAGATTATTACATTTGTTGTATATCTGTGCTATGTGCCCTCAAATACTGTAATTTTGGGAACATGCAGTCTGTTCACAAGTTTAGCTCCATCATCAGCTTTAGTTCTTTGTTTAGGAAACTGCTGACCTTCAAGATGTATATATGTGCCTTTGTGTGTATATATTTGTCATGTATATGTGTGTGTGCATGTCTGCACATATATAGATTTTCAGCTTTGCAAGTTTTGCTTGGTGTCAGAAATGGGACGGCACTATGGAGTCTGAAATCAGAAATCTGTAAGAAATGCTCTGTTTCAAAGTCTCAGCATCAAAGATTAACTACAAGCAGAGGGAAACTTTATAGTTGAAACATATCTTAAAGTTCTTTGCCTCTCTGGTGCCATTTTTTCTATAACAATCTTTTTTAAAAAAGCAATTATTACTGTTTGGTAGGCTTGTCTTCAGAAGAGATACTGTAAAGATCCAAGTCCTATTTTATCTGCATCAAGAAAGTCAAGGAGATAAAGTGGAAGGCAATAGTGAAAACGTGATCTGGATAATTCCTTACAGTAGGATGTACAAGTTAAAAGAGAAAGTTTCACTGAAGAACTTGAGGTAGAGAGGTATTATTCTGGTTTTGTTCACCAGGTTACTTTTAAGTGACGTCAAATGATCTAGTATGTGTCTAGAAGCAGAGTGGTTCGAGAAGACCTGGCAGCAGTACAGGTAATGTACTTCACAACTATTCACAGCCTGAGTGCAGGTGGAGGAGCAAGTGTTGTCAATAAGATGAATGTAAAACAAAAAGACAAGGACCTATTTTGTCATGAGATGACTGAGAAATAGTCATTCAACTATATAATGATAATTTGAAAATATTTTTGAGTAAAAGTAGTAATGTTTCTAATCCATTACTTGTAGAGACCTAATGTACAATGACGGAGAACATTTAGGCAGTTACTAGATACGTATGAAAACACTTATAAATGTTCCACCAGCTTTATTATGTGCTTATCACATTTATAATTTTATTTCAGAAGTTTTCATTATTACTATTAACTGTGTTTTTAAAGGCCTTATCCAGTCAGAAGACATAAAGATCTCCATATTATTTTGCAGAACTGCCACACCCTGTGCATGAAAAATAGAGAACAAGCAGTACGTTATAGGGTGTTCTCATAAAATACAGGATGAATATTTGAAATAAGTAATATACTTGGAAGTCAAAATTGGCTTATAAATGAATTTCAATAGAAATGTAGGGCTGAATCAATGAATGCTGCTCACAATTGAAGATATTTGAGGATCTTTTTAGAGAGGGTGGGTGAAGAAGAGAAATGAATGTTGGGTGAGAGGAAAGAAGAGGGAGTGTAGATAGATCAAACCACTACTCCATAAAACTGAATCCCTAAATTGACTACAAAATAGCTTTTGTTTAAATCACAAACATCTTTACTTTGAAATTTTGTGCGGGTTTTCTGACATGGTGAAGCTTATGAAAGCAGAGGTAAGGGCTTTGTAAAATGGTAACAATTAAGCTGAGGACTGCATGTTGCAACTCTGACCTCTTTGTACTCTTCAGTGATATGCAGCACAGAACAGTAAGACCTGCAGTTGTCACTCTGCTGAATATGTAGACAACTCTGGTTCAGCAGAGGTTCATATTCTGACTATTTCAGCATTCTGGAAGTTTACTGTGATTTGATTACACTGAAACCTGGATATGTTGGGCTGCTTTTCTTTTGAATTGATTTAGACACCTGCGTGAACCATGGTCTCTGAAATGATTTGATTAAGCATGTTTGGTAGGTCTTTAAATACCTGACTGTCTCTTTGTCTATATCTGGCCTTGAAAGTTCTTTTGATCTAGTGATGTTTGAGATAGTTGTCATATGAACTGCTTTTTGTGTTAATGGAAGTCCTGCACACGGATTTTTACCTCCACCCCCAAGACAAGGGAAAGAACAGTTCCCTTGCTAAATAGAAAATACCAGACCTTGATTGGAAGAGATCCTAAGGTGGATGGGTGGAGGCAGAAATGTTTGGAAGTAAAATTAAGTGACTATGACAGGATTTTTTTGAGGTGATTTGGGCATTTCAGTGAGACTAAGCACTACATTGTGAGCATCATAAACAAAACATGATAAATCATGTAAACATTAAGATCCTTGAAGATGATCAGCAGGGAAAACTGGCGATGAGGTCTGAAGAACATAGAGGAGAACTGTTGGTACATCAGCGAAACCTGGTATGGATTTGTCAGTTAAGAGGTTCATAGATAGGAAGGATCACATTTCCCTTGCAGTATGTGTTGGCATCTTTGGAATCATGAAAGACATCTTAACAGCCAAATATGTTTGCTAATAAACCAAAGAAGCAATTTTTTTTTTTTTTTTGAAAGCACCAAGAACTGTATTCCTTGAAAAACGCTTAAAGAACTGTATATTAAGTTGAAGAAAAAAGGCAGATTTGTTCCACATGAATTTGTTGTCTCCTGGATTATAAATCACCCTACTCCTGACACTTACATTTTACCTTCTTTTCTTGTACTTGGAATTTTCATTTCATATTCATGTGCAGGCTATAAGATTATGATGTTCCTGTTACTATTTTGATAAAACTTTTATGCTTCTTAAATTGGATTAAATGTTGAGCAGTATTACTATGGTACAAATCTTTTGTTTAGGATGCATTATACATTTGGGGGACTCAAGTTTTAGAAATTTCTGTTGAGAAATAATTGCCAGAGGCCTTTAAGAACAGGCTGAAAAAGCAGGAATGGCTGCCTTGATTCTTGCTTGGGTGGGCAGATAGGTAAGGTTGGCTTCTCAGGGTGCTTTATGGCCCTGCAGTTGTCTTGAAATGAAAAATAATACATGGTCCTAATTTATTTAACTGAAATCAGCACTAGTTAACTCAAGTGGTGATGTAAATCTGCGTGTTGATCCATATGCAGGTGAGTCAATAGCCAGAAAGCAAGTAGGACAGTATTGGTTGTGTTAAAATCTGACTTGTTCAGAATATAGATAGAAAACTAATGCTATAAATACTTAATGACTTAATTCAGTTTTGTTCCTTAGCAATCATCTCTCCTTCCTCTGAAACACAGCAGAAGAAGTTAAGTTTAATAATTAAAATTTTAGAGTTTATTGTAAGCTCTGCTTTTAATCTAAAATAACAGCTACAGCTTCATCAGTGTCATCTTTCATTACATTATTTTCAAACAGGTTTTTTTGGTAGCAAAATACACAGTGGCAGGTAGAAAATTGAAGTCAGATTTAGAACTTGGTAAATTGCCCTTGATTTATACCATTGTAATGGACATCAGAAACCAGCTCATATACAATAGGACAGTAATAGCCACTTTATCGATGTAACTGTTGTACAATCAGAGGTAAGGCTCCAGTACACTGGAGAGATGCCAGTTTTCCAAGGGAAAAAAAATAAACATTTCTTTCAAATAAAGTGAATTTTCATAGTAAGCAAACAAAACACTATCTTCTCCATCTGAGAGTAATGGAGAGGAGAGTGAGGAGATCGTGAAAATACAGAGGTTTCATAGTAACCCAGTTCAAAATTTTGTTTTCTTTCTTACATTTTCACAATTCTTCATCAGCATTAGTTGCAAGTGCTGTCAACCTCCACTGGAATCTAATGGAAAAGGAGTAGAGGGTCAAAGAATGCTTTAATTTAGAGTTTTGTATCCTCCTGAAACCAAAAAGAAGTTGCATTGTTGCTATAGGTTGCATTTCAAGGAAGTCGTGAAGAACTTGTTAGCAAAACTCCTTCTGGATATGATAGCAAAAGTTATATCCAGCCTACAAAGCATGCATGCTTAGCAGGAAGGCAGCATTTCCAATTCTCCATTTTTATTCCATGTACTTCCAAGCACAATTACACAGGAGTGGATGGGTGAACATTTGGACATGCCTTTGACTTTTTAGTAGAGTTTGGCTCGGTGTTTGGTTGTATTTGGTTTGTTTTCTGACAAAGAGTACTCGGGAGTGTCCTCTATGGGTCTCTCTTTCAACACAAGGCTTTAGATCCCAGATTTATGTACTCTGTGAGAGCCTGGTTTGAAAACAAGTGGAAGAAAAACTAGTGGATGTCTTTCTATTAATTTGAGCAGACTTTAGCTCAAACCACGGTGTAGCCATGAATGATCCAGTTAAGAGGGAGGGTTTGTCTCCTATGTTTTCTCTGTGTGCTGCTGCCAGCTCTTCTCAGCAATGCATGACAGCCACTTGCCATGCCAGATATGGCTGCATTTGGGTGTGCTGCATCTATGGATGTTTACAAATGTTATTTGATATGTCCACTTGGAGAAAGGTAATGATCAGCATCTCAGTTTCTATAGTCTTAGAGAAAGCAAACCTCCTAAATCTTAGAATTACTCAGCCATTTATCTGTATGATTTTCAAAGACTTGGCTAAAATAAAACTTTTGTCCTATAACTTTCTCAAAGAATTTTTACACTGAAGTGTCAAAAAAGCTGTTGGAGTTTAAATATTTAAGCAATCCTAATCTGTCGGTATATTTTTAGGGATTTTTTTTTTTTCTTTCCTATCATCGAGTACCTTTTTTTGCCATGTTATGATTAAAAGCTGTAGAAGTTAATAGAAATTACACATTACTCAGAAGTAGAGAAATGGGCCCTGCTGCCTGTGGCGTCTTTTCCATAAGCTTGTGAGCTTTATCCCCAGTTCCTTTGCTGGAGACCATCACCTCCCGAGTGGTTAAATGTCTGCAGTAAGCATCTTTAACGCAATGAACAGATGTGTGTAATAACCACCTAATGTTTTGCTAGGTTTTGCAATGGAACAGGTATGGTTACTGCTCCTGCTGACAATTAAAGTGCTTTCAGTGACTGCTCAGTTCAATGGATACAACTGTGATGCTAACCTCCATAGCAGGTTTCCTGGTAAGTGTTTAATAGACTTTTTTCTAATGGCTTCTTTATTGTCTTGGTTCAAAGCAGTGCTTATTTTTAAATACAGAGCTTTAAATCTGTCTGAAGCCTGGGGATAGAATTCCACATTAAGTGAGCGTTAACTATCTCAGTGACAACAAGCTCCTCTAATTTTGCACTTTACTTTCTTCTTAATTGCACAATGGGTCAAATTCAGTCTTGTAGTAATGAATACAACTCCCCTCACATCAGTGGGGTTTGACCTGCACTTTCCAGAGCTCCGTCCAATAAATTCATCAGAGGTCATGTTGTTGTAAATGTTCTCTATAGATTGAAAATTCTGAAACTTCTAACTGGGTTTTCTGTCATGTTTTATCTGGGTAAAAGAATATGTCCTTTTAGTGAAATAAATAAATATATATCTGTTCTTGAGCAAAATTAAGTTAATGACAAAATTTAGTGCCTCTCTTCAACATTAAGTGCTCAGTTATGGGCAGGTGAAGCAATGGGACATATCTATGATGTACGCTCATGCCTCTGTGAGAAAATGGGAATTAAGTCATTTTGGGGACATCAGATGTCTGAAGCTTCTAATACAAGGAGAAACAAAAATGTCATTTCAGTCTTAGTGACATGTGTATCAGGGTTTACTCAGCTAAAGAATGCTTTTAGTCTCTGTTACATTGCTTATCCTTCCCGCCTCAGCTGTTTCTGGGACAGAATAATAGTAATAAAGGCTGTGACTACTGCCTTGCTCACACCTTGTGTTTCTGAGGTACCAGTTGAATTGAACAGTACAGGGTTGAACTCTCAGTATAATACTATGCTGTAATACCTTCCAGTGTTGCTGCTTTCTGAATAATAATAGTTTTGATTTTTTTTCAGGAAGGATCATCTCTTATTAAACTTAAGTCAGCAGAAAGCCTGCAGTCTGTTTATTGTTTCCTGTGTTACGACCACAGTGCTAGGTGCTTTGTTGGCATAAAGACCAACAGTGGGTTTGATCCTTTTTCATTTAATCAATGTGAATACGAAGAGCAGAGAAGACATGCAAAGAAGATCAACTATGTTGTCTCCATCCCTGATAAAAATCACTGTTTAACTGAGTATTTCACAAACTACTTCTATGTTCCTCCCCTTAGGTAAAAGTTTTACAGGCTTGCCTCGAAAGTGTGCGTGAATTGTGCCCACCTGCCTCAGATCTACCTTTCGTTCCTTTTCATGTAATTGTTTTTCTGTTTCAGGCTTATTGAGAGGATTGCAACAGCTAGAGAGAAGTTTAGATTCCTTTCGGTGCTTTTAAAATTTTTTCTCTGGTCATTTTTTGTACCAGCCCTGTGCCAAGGTTTTATATTTGCAATGTGATACCCATGAATTGAATCCAGCTCTTACTGTGTGTATTTAGGGGCCTTGCAATTCTGCCTCATAAAGAAGGGTCATATCAGATTCCACATCTGCCAAATCTCAGGGACTAAGGAGAAAATCTGTTTAGGTTACAAGTAAACAGATTTTTTTTTTTTTTTAAGTAAACTCTACTCACTCCACATTGCCCATAGGAGCTGAGAGTGGAGTTCTGCACTTCCTTGCTTGTGGTCTCAGGCAGTAAAGATTCAAAGGCTGGAACTTAATCTAGAGTCTTAGTGCTGATTTTGAGAGCTAGGAAAGAAAAATAATTCTGCTTGTTAGTTGTGCATTTGACATGGAGAGAAAAAACAGAAAATCCTTTTGTCCCTGAATTTTACAGGTATTATTTTCAGTATGCAGAAGGGACTGCTATGTAATGCGCTGGGGCTAGTGGAGCTGAGTGAGGCTGCTGGAGCTCTGTTTTCTGGGTTTGAGAACCTCAGAGGACAGATGAGAGAGCCTCTGCAGCGAGAAGGGGCTGACTCTTGGTGTGCTTGCTTCCCCAGCACCTGGCTCAGGCTGTGGCCCTGAGGGTGCTGGCCTTGCTGCCTTCAGAGCTCAAATGTAAGGGGATGGTGAGAGAGAGAGAAGTCAAGAAGGAGAACATTTCAAAGCAAGTGTCTCTCCAGGTTGAGATACTGCTCGCAGGGCCTGGTTATGGATAGACTTTCTTTCTGTTCCTTATTTATTCCACACAAGAGATCTTCATTGTTGTCAGTTGAAATTCCAAACATGGTGTGAGAATAGACTTGCTTGCTGAGGTCTGTGGTGTGCAGATACCAGAGAAGCCATTGCACTTTGAAGTTGTCTGCTTTTTTTCTTTAAATGTTGTGAAGAACAGAAGTTGTCTTCGGCAAAGATGAAAAGTTATGCTTTCCTGAAGGAACCTTGGAGCTCATCCATTTTTCATTTGTTTGTGCTTCTGTCATTCATTGCTTAGGTGACTTCTTGCATAGGGATGGTGCTGCATAAAGAGGATGATAAATAATCAGGCAGGACTTCTGTTCCTGTAGTTTGCAGGTTTGTTTTAGAATGTAGGTATGCAATAGCCAGCAGGGATGAAGGAAAAAGCCCGTATTTGGTAGACTGAAAGTTCTGTGGCTTTTTATACCAGAAACTACACGTGCTCTACAGAGTATCTAATAAGGTTAGATCCTGCCATCCTTCAGAGAGTTAACCAAAGGAAAAAAGCTTTACTTCTGCATTGCAGTAAAGCATAGCTTTTGGGGGATGGAGCCATAGCAGTTGGGCTGTCTTCAGATTGGAAACACACAGTTTTGTTTCAGGGGGCTCTTGCTGTAAGTACATGCTGAGAACTTAGTAGAAGCTAAGAAAATATTGCATCTTTTTCACATACGCTATGCATTGTTAATTCACTATCAAAGCAGTGATCTGATGAAAGAGAAGGCTCATGCAGAGAAGCTGGTTTTGAACTAAAAGTGTCTTCGCATGCCTATTCTGCTGGAATGGCTTTTGTCAACAGTGTTCTGTGGCAAACTCTTGTCCTCTGCAGGTTTTTTGCTTCCTGCTCTGGTGGGGTGAGTCTTGGCAACATGTAGAAGGGTTCCAGAGCCGAAGCGGGCAGTGGAGCTGTCAGCGTTTGGCTCAAGTTGCCAAGAGTCTGTCCTTGATTCAAGATGGTCTCTGTTACTGTAGTATCTATGCACCTCTTGAATTTTACTCTGTTTTGTGTGACACCCCTGTGAGTACTGTTGACTATAGGCAGCTTGTGTGATTTGAGTCAGAAGTAAGCCAAGTGGTTTGCCTCTGTGGAAACTCAGTGACAAAGGGGTCATTATATTTAAGGCCCCATCATCTGGGTGACCTAACCTTCAAACCATTCCTCCTCTCTTACTCAGTAAACCATAAGCTTTTACTGCAGGAATGCAATATTTTTTTATTTAAACTTATACATATATAGGAATAATATTTACCTTTCTAAATTCACAAGAAATGAACTAGATGTTTATCATCTAAAGTGGCATTAGATCTGTTTGTACCTGGCTTCAGATTAATTTCCAAACAAATAATGTTGTTTTAATTCCAGAGTGGACTAACTTGGCAACAATTCTTCCTTGTAAAATAGTGGGCAGAAAAGGTTCAGTCTGGGAAGGTTGTTTATCTTCCTGTATGGCACGAAGGTGGTTTTTGTACTGTATGGTCTCATTTCCCTTAGTGTCAAATGAGAATTTTGCAAGCTGTAATGGTACCTTAACAGGTAAAGTAATATCCGGCTTTTTAAAAGGCTTGAAGTTAGTTATAAAATTAACTGAGCGACTATATATTATATCTTGCAATTTGCTACAATCTGACTGTTTGTGTATTGGTCCAAGTAAGTGTAAAGGCGCACTTTACCATTTGTCTTTTTGTACAGTTCCCCCTACATTAGTATACCCATTAAATGGATCACAACAGTCCTCATGTAGTAAAAACCAAGGCATGCTGCTGCTTGATCTTTGTATGTTATATTAGTGGATTTATCTATATGTACAAACTAGCAGAATTTCATGCTAAGTCACTTCAACTCCTGTCTTACCACCAGTACCTTTCTGCCCAAATTTACACCCAGTAGGTAACATTTATCACCACATTAGCTCAGGACTGAGTTTAGCCTGTTATTTCCTGCACTTGATTGTTTTGGCTTTAAAGCCACCATTAAAGCTGTCTAAATTAAACTGCTTGTGCTCCTGTACCATGGGGGGAAGAGTTAGTTCATTGTAATGGAGATTTCATTTCCTCTCTGTTGTGACAATGCAGTGAAACAATTCATTTCAACAGGCTTAATGGTATAGTATTGACTGAAGTTGTTTTGCAATTTTTAATAGCACTTAATCTTTAAGCAGATGTAATAAATGAGTTGATATATAAAGGAGTAATGTCAGTGTTTAACACGATGCAGTATGGTTTTTTTTGTAAAGCACTAAGGGATAAAACCAAAATAGACCCCCCCAATCATCTACAGGCAGAGAAGACCTATTGAAAATCTATGTTATAGCTCTAAAGCAAAGCAAACTGTTGCTTGTGCCTATGTCCTAACCTGATGCTTTTCCATTCACGTACATAAAAATCTTCAGAACTTTCAAGTAAAAGGTCAGATTCGTTCGAGAAGTATTTTTGCTGTTGTTCAAAAATTGATCAGTTGTAACAATTGCTGTTTTCTAGGTCTTTTGTATTGTCATAATGTACAGAATGAAAGATTGCAAGATGCTTTGTAGTATCGATCATTGCCTTTCAAAAGCCAACTGATTTTTTCATTAAAACTAAAGTTGATGGTTCTTAAAAAAACCTCCAACTTTAAAGATATCATAATAAATTGCTCTGATACACTGTTGGTCATACTTCAAAGTCTGCACAGCCTGAGACTGCGGTCTCATACAAAGTGGACTTCAGACAACCTCAGACAAAAGCACCGGACTTCCATGCCGGACTAAGCTGAAAGGCAGAGCTCAGCCTCCTGAGTTTCTCAAAATTGCTGGAAATTTCTGTTCCAGAAGAGGGCTGTTTAATCAGACTCCAAATATTTAACCATTTGCTGTTTTCCACTCCATTGCAGTGCTTCCGTTTATGAATGTGCTACTAAATGATTTGCTGGGGAATTTTAGAATAATGTTTTTTTTTGCATAGTAGGCTACGTTACTATATTAATTCTTGTTTTTTCTTTAGTGGAGTTGTATAGTCAAATCTGTTCTTCAGATTAATGCAATGCTGGCCTTTATATTCCAATATTTTTTTTGTGACTGGGGTCTAAAAATTGATTCAATCAGAAGTTACAACACTAGACAAACTGCTACAATAATTATATGGTGATTAGTTGAAATACATCTTCTTACAATGTCTTTCCCTGTATTTTTCTTGCAGCTGAACGAGATATCAATGTTTTCTGTGGAGTACAGACAATTACTATGAAGATAAATTTTTGCACAGTTCTTTTCTCTGGTTACTCTGAGACAGATCTGGCACTGAATGGGAAACATGGGGATGCCCATTGCAGGGGTTTCATCAATAACAACACCTTTCCAGCAGTGGTCATTTTCATTATCAATCTGAGTACTTTGGAATCCTGTGGAAACACTTTAGTGGTAAGACAAAGTCCAAGTGAACTTGTAGTGTGGCTGTTTATGCATAAGATCAAGTGAATGTCCTTGACAGTATTTTCTCTCTTATAGATAATGTTTACTTTGTCTTGCCCAGTTAGCAATATATTGCATACATCAAAGAAAACCAGAGAAAGTCAGTAATTTATAGTCTTGATTACTAATGAGAAAATGTAGTGGGACACACATTTGTCCTCTGATTAGAAAGTATATTTTTAATTTTTGTTTTTTCCAGTGGAAAAATTAGACTTTCCCAAGCCATTTCTAAAACACTTGCTGAACATGCCATAAATTTTGCTGACACCTTTCAAATACCCACTTGGAAAATTAAAGGAAAGTATTTTTAAGAGTGGGTCAGACAGAGGAGAGTTATAGCCTGGGTGCCTGCTTCTGTGCTCTCGTATGAGAGGGGCTTGTTGACTGATCTTACATGTTCTGTGATAAGGCAGTGACTTCAGGCTGAATGTCACAGGGGAGACAGTCTGGCCAGAGGGTCCAATCCACAGTAAACACCTCTGCTAGCTGTGCCATGAGGTGTTGAACCCTCTTGGAAGATCTCAGTTCAATATGGAACAATATGCCTGGCAACAAACTGGAGTTTTCAAGCAAATTTTGAATGTTTGACACGCACACAAAAAGAATGGCGAACTTATGCATTCAATTCATGGCAAAAAAGTCAGGATGTGGGACTGAATTTCAGATTTGTATGTTCAGCTTTGACCTCTTAGTGTATGGTCACTCGGTGCAATGGTGTCTTGCTGTTTTGTCTGGTGGTGTGACTTCAGTGTCTACATTTTATGTTGCTGTTTCATGTATGGATAATGCATGTCTTTGTACCGCTAATGACTAAATCTAATCCTTAGCTGTGTGTGAGTTTTTGGAATCAGTATCTGATCCAGGAGCTGACTCTGAAGTCTGTCTTGTACCAGTATAATTTCATTTTCTTCAGTGAAACTATCTTACTTTGAAGGGAGAGAGTGGGAAATCAGGTCTCAAATATTCTAAACCAAGGGAGAGGAGAGTTGTATGGTTTGTGTGTATATCGCACTGTACAAGCAGTGATGATTTATATTGAATTATCTAGGATTAACTTACAAAACCAAGTTTAAAATGTATTATTTTTAAGGCTTCTATTCTATCTGGAATTTGTACTTGCACTTGATGGTACCTGTCAATTTTTACAACAAACCTCCTGTTTTGTTGCTAATAATTTTGTGAAACCGGGCTGAAATGTTTGATATGCCTTATGACCTGTTTGCATGAGGATTTCTTTTAAAATTGTAACAAAAACCAGTTCAGCAAGTTCAAGATTCTCATTTTCCATTTCCCCTGAAAAGATGTAGCACATCTATGACTTGCAGTAGAAGAATTTGCCAGGAAGCAACTTCTTCCTATTCCCCTGAAGTCAGTCACATTGTAAACTCACTGAACTTGCTACTTGATTATAATTGTAAGAGCTTGATTTAAAAAAAAAAAAAAAAAAAAAAAACAACAAAAACACAACAAAAACAAACAAACAAACAAAAAAACAAAACCCAAACCCAAAAACCAACCAACCAAACAAAAAGCAGTCTAGTAAGTCCAAATAACTGGAGCTCCCCATGAAGTCCCCCACAAGGCTGCATAGGATAAAAAGACAAAGTAGCAGCTGCTAAAAATATAACCAGAAGTTCCCCTTCTCCTCTCTCAGTTTATGCATGCTGTGCCACAAACAAAGAGGATAAAGGAGCAGGGGGCATTTCCTATCCTGTTCCCTACACCAGAGTAGTACTATCCCATGTGTTTCTTGGCTGTGTTTCACAGCAAATACCTTCAAACTCATTTACAATAAAAGTAAAGGAAAGACAGCAGTTCAGGTAGAACTCAGGTAAACCCCAGGTCTGTCTGTAATATGGCAGATGCAACTTTTTATTTTTGGGTGGTAACAGAGGTGTCATTGGCTATACTACCTTAGTGCTCTAGCCTATGTTTTTTAGGCAAGGAATAGATCCTAGGAAACTTGATTTTCATAATTTTTCTGTCATATAGCAAATGATTAGGTATACTGTTGGCAAAGTGCATGGCTGCATCTGTCTTCTAGTTGTTTTTTTCTGTAGCCAAAGAAATCGAATACCTGCTGTGTATCCTGTTCAACTTGGTACAAAATGTTACAACTCATGTGCAAGGATGATTCTGCCATAATGAAATATCTTTTTAAGAAATTGTGTATTCTAAAGCTATTGAAAGCATCTGTTTTTCTAATACAGTTGCACAAAATAAATATTACAGTGGAGGTCCAGTGCCATGTTAATTTGCCTTATTGTGTATGTGCCTACTGAGACAGTAATTTGTGACACTTACCTGCTGTTTTCAACCACCCCCTTACTCAGATCAGTAGCTATAGATGGCATGGGGGTGGGCTGCTACCAGGAGGAAAGAATGTCCTTCAGTTTTCTGCAGAGCTGCGTGTTATTGCTGTCTCTGCGCACTGTGAGCCTCAGCAGCACAGGACAGCACGTGTCCAGGGACTGAATTAAGGTTGCATTGGCATTAAGGTTGTATTATTTTTCAGCTCTTACATTTCTGATGCTGTTTCTTTGCACATAGTTTAGAATTTAGATTTACAGATGTATAATGTAAACAAATACAGACTCAAAGTTCAGCTATTTGAATTGTATCTGCTTATAAATTACATTGGTTTTGATGTGTCAAAAACAAAGCTCAAGTGTGTCAGAGTATTGTTTCTGTGAATGAAATTGCTTGTGTATTGGCTTTATTATTGCATATGGAAGCTCATTTTAAGCTAATATTTTTTAGCTGTAATGGGAAAGCTGAAGGAAATTTTCTCTGTAAGTCATGAGAATTCATTGGGAATACTCAGAATAAAAGTACCTACAAAAAAAAAAAAGCTTCCAGGACTCATTGGTTTATTCAAATGTTGCTCAAGTCTATGTTTTAAGGACAGGGATATTGCTTGTGGACTGTATATGCATGATTTCGGGAAGGTGAAAATTAGAACACAGGGAACGTGCTATGAAACTAAATTAATTTTCAGAGGATTTCTGAAGATATCTCTGGGTAAATAATGGACTAAAGCATCAGTGTCCTTAGGTAATTTTTGTTCCAGTTAACTTTCTGATAATAGTCGTTTCCTGTCTCCCTCAATAGGTATCCTCAGCTCGAGGTATCAATGCTTATGGAAATACCTCACTGGTACAGATAGGTAATGTTTCAGGCTATATTGATACGCCAGACCCACCAACAATTATCAGCTATTTGCCTGGGCTTCTCTACAAATTTAGCTGTAGCTATCCACTGGAGTACTTGGTTAACAATACCCAGCTTGCTTCGTAAGTGTGCTTTTTGTTTCGATGTGGTTCATTCTCATGTTTGTTTAAGCCTATATGTTTGTGTATATATGCATGTACACCTAAATATATGCATGCCAAAGAGTGTTGTCAACATAATTTTTAGCTGTGCAAGAGTAAAGGGAAAGGAAAAAGCACTGAAAGAAGTGATGCAAAGGAAAGGAAGATTCTATAGATTTATTGTACGAGGTAACAGTTTATGAAAAGCTGCCTGTATGAAGAGAGCCTTGGGTAATGTAAAAATGCACTTAAAATTCAGGTGTTCTGATGACAAAATGGTAGCAGAAAAAAAAAAAGTGAATTCTCCATGAAATAATTTGTAATCATGTTAATATCATAGGATGGTTTGGCTTGGAAGGAACCTTAAAGACCATCCTGTTCCAACCCCCCTGCCCCGGGCAGGGACACCTTCCCCCAGCCCAGGGTGCTCCCAGCCCCGTCCAACCCGGCCTTGAACCCTTCCAGGGAGGGGGCAGCCACAGCTGCTCTGGGCACCCTGGGCCAGTGCCTCACCACCCTCACAGGGAAGAATTCCTTCCTTATAGCTAATCTAAATATCCCCTCTTTCAGCTTAAAACCATTACCCCTCATCCTATCACTCCACTCCCTGACAAAGAGTCCCTCCCCACCTTCCCTGTAGCCCCCTGTGAGCACTGGCAGGCCCCTATAAGGTCTCCCCGGAGCCTTCTCTTCTCCAGGCTGAACAACCCCAACTCTCTCAGCCTGGCCTCACAGGGGAGCTGCTCCAGCCCCCTGAGCATCTTCGTGGCCTCCTCTGGACCCACTCGAGCAGGTCCGTGTCCTTCTGATGTTGGGGGCCCCAGAGCTGGACACAGCACTGCAGGTGGGGTCTCACAAGAGCAGAGTAGAGGGGGAGAATCCCCTCCCTCGACCTGCTGGCCACACTGCTCTTGCTGCAGCCCAGGACACGGTTGGCTTTCTGGGCTGTGAGTGCACATTGCTGGCTCACAGACAGTTTTCCATCCACTGATACCCCCAAGTCCTTCTCCTCGGGGCTGCTCTCAATCAACTCATCACCCCACCTGTATCTGTGCATGGAATATAGAGCTCAAGAGAAAATATTTCCATGAGTAAACCTTGTACATCATGAAAAGTGGGTTCCTTTTTGTCACTTTGTGTCTGCTAATTATTTTCCTGATTCATGTTTTCAACAGTATTCATTACTTTCTGCATACTTAAGGTTCTGTCAGTGTTTCCACTATAAATTCCTATTTCTGAAGTTTATAACCCAAATACATAAATTAACTCCTTGTGATATGACTCATTGAGGTTTTTAATGATAAAAACACTGATGTATGTAAACAGAAAAATAAGATCGCTTTCTTCATGATTTTTTTTTTGTTTTGTTTTGTTTCTGGTTCTGTTCTAGGTCATCAGCTGCTATTTCTGTAAGAGAGAACAATGGTACATTTATCAGCACTTTGAATTTGTTGCTTTACAATGTGAGTATACAACAAAATAGTATGGCCTGGACTAAATTAATCTCTGCACTATGTGGGTACGAGATGGATTAGCAGAGCAAATTGGAGAGTCCTCTTCATCATTTGCTATTCCCTTCCCACTCCTCCCATGGACAAGGCCTTTTATCTGGGCATCTTTCATCTCTGAGTTCCCTGGTCCTTGCGCTTGTTGTGTATTTATATGGCTGGTCTCTGAGGACATACACAGTCTTTTTGTCCTATATTTATACAGCTCCTCAGTTCACAGCTCTGGCTTTTGAGTTGTAGTGCTACATGACTAGGAGGTTGTAGTAATAACAATCATACGCCAGAGTGCATACTTGCATTTGCATTTATTATGTGTATGTGTGTATATGTATAGGTAAATTGTACGGATACAGAGAATGCTCTGTAGAATTCTGTAAAAATATTCCAGACCTGTTCCCCTAGCAATAGACTGTGGCACTTTTGCTGGGGTATTTTTATGTTCAAGCCTCATCAGAGTGTTTTGATCATCTGTAATTCTAGTAATGGATATGGGAATTGTTCCAAATCTGTAGCCTACTGCACTTGTTGCCTCATTGTGAGGACTTTCAAGATTTTAAGGGTTAATAATTTTAACAGCTTTCAACTAACACTTCTTCCATATGTTTTAGATAATTTCACTTGAATATGCATTATTGTAAAAGCTTTTACTATGTAAATATGGATGGTGACAGTAAAACATGAAAAATACACGGATTTCTACTTAACATTAATCCCTGAAATGATATTTTTGTGTTGATTAAAACTTTTATTCATACATTTTAAATACCTGATTTAAATATCAATTTTTCAATCTATCAAGCATCATTTTTGTAAATTATGAATCCAATTTTTTTGCATTATTATTCATGCCATCATGATGTTGAGTTATAATTCATGCAACTGATTTAAAAGTCAATGCTTTATGGTTTGAACATAATGAGCTATAAATATTGTAACAGGACATTTTCCAACGGCGTGCTTAAAAAAAAAATCATGTTTGTTAGACAAAGCAGAGCTCCAAATAGCAACCTATGATCTGTTAAAATGAAGATTATACTTCTCTCATTTTTAAATAAACCTGTGACCAAAAAGATGGGGCAGGGTGAGGGTAGCCAGATGTCTCTGGACAAGCATTGACCACCATGTTTGCCGCCTTTCCAGGGCCCAGTTCTGCAAACAGTCAGGTATAAATGCTGTTGATACTTGTACAGAGCACATTTTTTCCTTAAATACTGCATGCCAAGATGACCGTTATCCTCCTTACCCCAGTAAGTTTGCAAGTTGACCACGAACAGTGGTGTTTTATCCTTCTGATTTCAGTCGTATTACTCGAGTGAGCAACACTAGCATGGGTACTACTGCTAAGGCTGGCAGATTCAAGTGATGGGTAAGCCCTCCTGGTTCACATCCCGGGGCCGGGCGTGCGCACAGACAGTGTGCGCGTTGCCTGCCGTCTGCCTGGGAGTGCTGCTTGGGACACCCTTGTCTTGTGGGCTCACTCGGTCCCTGCTAGAGTCCTGGTTTTGGGAGGGACCTTGAGGTCCCTAGCTACCCTTGGTATTGGTGAGGGGTCGCGTACCGATGTGGCTCTTGTCTGTGAGCAGCCGTACTTTCAAAGTCTAGCTGTAGTGTCATTTCCTAACATTGACTTCATCTTCTCAGCTCACCTCCATCTTCCCTCACAAGGTGGTGTTTACAGTGTTTACACTTACTTTGTGGCGTTAGCACGTGTAATCGTTAGGACAGACAAGAGGAACTAATATGACAGACTCAGCGTTTAATAGCAAAATGTTTAATGGGCTTGCATAGAGTCTAACTGGCTATGTGCTTTTAGGCCTTCCTTGTAAGTGTCTGTCTAGAAGAATAAAAACTATTATTTCAGAAAAAAAGAACAGCTATGGAATGTAATAGTGAGGGACTTGCTGTAGACTTTTTAATCAGTTACAAAATGTGACAGAACTACATATTGGAGAAATGTAAAATTCATTTTAAAGAAGGCAAACTTACTTGACCTCACTTGAATGGATCTTCAAGGACTTGCTCTCTGTATGTTGCAGAGATGATCTGTGAGTGTGCATGTGTACCTCCCAATCTCTGCAGCATCAGAGGCCTTCAGTATTGGGCATGCTGTGAATTTAGGCATTGTTCCTTTTGGAAAAAATACATTATTTTTGTGCTTAATCCTTCTTGTTGCTGTCAGCTGCTGCTCTTGGTCTTGCCTGCCACACTAAACCTGGTCAAAATTCTGTTTTACAAAACTTTTCTTATGTAATGAGTGTTTCGACCTCTCACAAGAGGTCTCAGCATGCCGAGTCCTTGTCCTTTCTGGATTAGCAACCTATTTGACATAGGTGATGTTACCAGTACGTGCGCTTTGATATACTGAATTAATGTCTGTCACTCAGATCTATTTCATGGATTTGTTGCCAAAGTGAGGTTAGTGGTTTAGCCTTTGAACAAGAAAGCAATAGGATGGCTATATCCATGTAGTAGTATACAGTGAATTCCCAACTTTTACGTTATATACAGACTTCTTGAAACAGCTTTTTAAAAATGTTAGAATTTAAATGAAAAAGTTTGTTACTTGTAGTCTTCAGCAAGCCAGCTTCCATAGTAACTACACTTTGCATAATGGAATGTATCTGTTCTCTCAGAGTACAGCTTAAGATACATAAAACCTGGTGGCATTGCTATCTCCACTAAATCTAATAACCTTAACCTTTCCTCGGAAGGGGTATGCTGTGACAACCCAGTTAAGGTCCTCCTTTAGAAAACCACAGTAGCTGTTATGTTTGCCTGTAGGTGCTGGAAGACTTACTGAAGTGTCAATACCTTTTCTTTAATCACCAATCCAACCACTTCATAAAATCATAAATAGATTCCCCAAGATAGTTGCATAGGATAAGGCCGGTCAAGTGTTGATCCTTACAGACAAACTTGTAGGCAAATGCTCTGACACTCCTTTTTGTATCTTCCCTTATGGAGGACAAAGTAAATGACTGTCCTATATAGAAAGTTCAGAAAAATTAGATGGGAACTCAGTCTGGGGATGCAGATGGGTTGTTACAGTGGGATTTCTGGTACACTGAGGCAGTGTTTGTTTTTCAGGATTCAACCTACAGCCAGCAGCTCCTTATTCCAAGTACAGGTTTACCTTTGAAAACCAAAATATATGCAGCTGTAAGAGCAACCAACCTTGATGGCAGGTACCACAAAGGATATTATTTCTTGTCTTGCTTGCTGTTTAGCTCTCGGTGTTGCTTTTTTTTTTCTAATTTAGAAGTAACTGTCTTTCCTTATATCTTTTGTATGTCAAAATAATGGCTGGTGTTTGATAATCGCTGCCCTCAGCTGGAGAGTATCATGTCCTTGATGGTGAATGCATATTTTGCTGCTGTCCTCATGGAAGTTTTCCTGAGTTATACTTTAAATGCTCTATTGCTGTTATTTAAGAAAAGGCCTCTGTAAGATCAGGTGAGAAACTCTGGGGCTTTCAAAATTAGGATGGTTTTGATTTCTAGTCCTGTGTGGCCATGAGTTCTGAGAGGAGGTATACAGCATGTCTTAGTATGGTGGTTGAATTGCATGAAATCAAGTGATTTGATTTATACAATTCTGCTGCTACGCTGTGCTGATTCATTTTGTAAGTAGTGAGAAGAAACAGACAATGTACTGGGAATGCAGGATGACTTGTACGTGACCTGTTAAATACAGTAACTCAGCTTCAATGTAACATCCTGCATTATCAGTTTGTATGCTTGCCTGTACTGTCTTTTAATCTTATCTCACTCTCCACCTCTAGCCTTAAATTGCCAGTTCCTCTCATCTATCACTTTTCTCCCTGTGCAGGTGGAATGTTTTGATGGACTACTGTTACACCACACCATCTGGTAATCCTAACGATGATCTTCGATATGATCTTTTTTTCAGGTGGGTCCTGTGCAAATCCAGTGTTTGGTGGGTCTTTCCTTTAAAAAACAGTTATAAATCTTTCCAGTAGTGGTGTTCTAAACTGCCTGGAAAGTCTAAGCAATATTAGCAGGGAGGACCGAGGGCTAGGCTTACAGATAACATGCCAGGACTTATCATGTTTGTGACCGTAAACATAGAAGCAAGCACAAAGTTGTAAGAATTAGGAAGGCAGAGAAACATATATCCAAAATGACTCTGTTAGAGATACCATAAACACCCAAACTGAATGGCTAAACTGGCCTTTATTTTACCTCAGGTACCCTTGTAGTGAATGACAGTGATATAAAACATCATAGACTCCAGTTCAGGAAAACAGTTAAGAAAATGATTAAAGATAAATAGGTGCTCCTTCTTCTACTCCCAGCAATAACATTTATTTGAATTGGAACTTTGAAAAACATCTTGGCAGTATCTCAGAATAAATCTTACCAGTGATGGTTGCTGGAGAGATACCGTCTTCATTTGGAGTTACCTGTCTATGCCGGTTAGCATACCTGATTACTTTTTGCTTCAGATCTCAGATTTCTTTGGGCGCTGGAATTAAATGGCACCTTGGCTGTAGCTGTGATGTTGCAAAACAAAACATAGGAATGTATTTCAGCACAGGACTGTGCAGCCTAACAGGCAGATTGTGGCTGCCCGTGTTGCACATTAGGGCGCTGTGTTCTTTTCCAAGGAGCTAAAGCACTGAACTTTCTGCTTAATTTATCTTATTCTCAGCTAAGGGCTTCAAAATGCTAATATAGCTGCTCATCCTAGTTTTAATCTTCTCTACAAAAACTAGCTGTGACAAGGACCCGCAGACAACTATAATTGAAAATGGCAAGAGCCAAATGGGCCGGTTTTCCTTTGAGGTGTTTCGCTTTGTGAAGCACAAGAACCAGAAGATGTCTACGGTCTTCCTTCACTGCGTAACAAAGCTGTGCAGAGCAGATGACTGTCCCTTTCTTGTGCCAGTAAGTTTCAGTGAATGGAAGTTGCTGTTAATTATCTGGTTATAAAATAGGCATGCTGGAGCTATTCTGCATACAAATGCTATGAAGGTTTGGATGGCACAGAATGAAGGTGACTTGTAAAGTCTGAAGTAAAATGTTTTTTTTTTTAATGTCCAAATGAACGTTAAACAACTGATGAAGAATAGGGCAAGGAATATGGTCACCCAGAGATAGAGCAATACTAGACCTGCAAAACACAGGTCGTTGAACACATGAGAAATGACCTCATTGCCTTTTGGTCCTTAATTTTTTTTTTTTTTTTTTTAAGTAACAACTCTGAGACAACTTCAGAGCTGATATTCTTAGTATGGCATCTAAGAAACAAGGTATCCACAATCACAGTGGATTAGTAGAAATATTTTAGAATAGAATTTATGGAAATCTTAAAGCTATAGTAAGTGCCATTACACTGAGAAGGAAAATTTGAAAAAGTTTCTAATAGTGAAAAAAAAAAAAATACTACATCCCCTATAGTTTATTACCACCTCCCTTTTAGTTTGGAAATTGCTGTTTTGCTGAAGTTCATGAAATTGTGTCAGTGCAAAAATTAATTAATTTTAGGAGTGTCAGAAAGAACAAATATATTTCAGAAATTGAAACATTTAAATAAACGTATAAACACAGAATATTCTGTGATGTCTTCATAATGCAGTATCATTTCCTACCGGATGACTTTCCAATTAGAATTTAAAAATGCTATCAGTTCAGTATACCTCTGGCATTTCTACATTATTTTATACTTTTATGTTACGCTTTTAAATAATTCATTGTTTCTATTGAATTTATGTTCTGAGATTTTTGAAGTTCTTTCACAAGAAGTTGAAATTAAAGAAATGCTCTTGGCTGAAGCATACTTGAGTACCCAAGATTAAGGTAGATGATAAGTTAGAGATGTGTTAAAGGTGGATTCCAGATGATAGAGTGCTAGGGATTGTTTTAATGTGGGTCATTGCTATTTAGAACTGTGTGCAGAATGTGCAAACTTTAACTCAAGAAGCTTGCTAGAAGAGGGATTGCAGCATGTTGTCTATCCCTAGTCAAGCAAAACCTATTTGTTGGTGAAAACTGTCTGTAAACAAAGCTTTGGGAAATTAACTATTGAAAATTTAATATACTATAAGATGGATCTTGTACACAACAGCAATGTAGTGCTGTAAACGAAGTGAGGCAAAATACAACAGGAAGCCAGGCATTTATAAGATAGACTTCTAGGGAATATTGCAGCTGGTTTTATTGCAAAGTAATTTAATGCATACTAAGAAATAAAATCAGAGTTGTAGTTTTGCTTATAAAAGAGTTTGCATTAAAGCAGGAAGCACAGAAGGGCAATAATTCCATTCCACTCTGAAACTGTGATTGTTTTGATTAATCGCTTAGATTTGCGGTAACAGAGAAAGAAGAGACACTGGTGGGAGGACAACTTGGAGCCCTCAGAGCACCTCTGGCAATGCTGTAATCTCTGCTGGCCCCATCATTACGAGGAGTGGTAGGAATGAGCAAACTTTTTCTGTGGACTTCAGGAATTTCAGAAACCTGGGGAAATGTTTTGCAGTTTAATATAGATTTGAAGTGACTTAGAGAAAGGGTGGTTTCTCCATGAGCTTGCTGGTTATTTTTTTTTCCCTACTGTTAGTCTTTGGTAGAAATTCTGAGCTAATGTTCCTGTTTGACTCTCACATGTTTTCTCTCTACCCCAGTAAAATTACTGTGGGATACTCTTATGCATATAAGGCCATTATAGAAGCCCAAACTGGGTGGGTTGACTTTTTTTTTTTTTTTTTTTTTTGGTCAGATTTCACTGAAGAAAATGGAATTTAAGATACTGTGTTCAGTGTTGTAATTTAATTTGGACAGCTAATGAATATTCACTGTCACTTTCTAGTCACCATTTCTTCCAACTTCACCTGTGGGCTTTTATCTAAGTGTTGCATAAAATTAATAGATGATATACTTAGCCTTCAGCTATGAGAAAGAAGAAAGAAAAACACATTGTACATTCTGAAGAAAGTGGGCCAAAAATCTTACTCCTTTAAATCCAGGGTCGAATTCCATGATTTCCATTTTTATTGCCAAAGTTGTTGTTTTGTTTATTTATTTTTTTTTTTTTAAAAAGCATCTTTAAATGCAAACTTCAGCCTTTGAAAAGAATTTATGTGACTGCTGTTGACAAAATAATGAAACTAAAATACTTGAAAAAGTTTAAGAAATTCTGTTTACAGATATTTATAAGTGGTTGCAGTTAAGCAACTGATTTCAACAGTCTTAGATTTAGAAAGCTGAGAGCAGGACTGAATCCTATCCATGAAAAATAGTTGAAACACTTGAGAATAAAATCCTTCTATACGTGCAAAGTGGCTGTGCCCACATATACAAAGAGAACTGACCCTTCAGAATAGCGAACTGTCTAGTAAGAGACCATTTTTAGAACAAACACCCTTGGTTATAAGCAGCATTTCTGCAATGAAAATGAGTACTTTTTTTCAGTTGGGGCTGTGTATAATGCAGAGTTGCTGCTATCTGATTAATCAAGAAAAAGTGAAAAGAAAATGAGTGACAGATTTGATCAAACAACCATGTATGCTAGAGCAATGCTGCATCTGGCGAAGAACGGAAACTAGATAAAGCTTGTTATGTGAGCAACCCTGGTTAGGTAATATAGCTTACGGTTCAAATGCTGTCAATGCTATTTTTACAATTAGAAAACCTGCCCTCATCAGCTACCTTTCAATACTGCATAACTTAAAGCCAACAAAGGTTTGTCCACGGGTGTTTAATGACCTCAAAGAGAGGATAAACAATTTTATAATTTTTTGAAAACTGTTGAGGTTTTTTTTTACATAAAAACATGAATAAGGCTGCTGAAGGAAAATAATATTTTAGGTGTCTTCTACTTGAGATGTGTGGCTAAAGCTTTTTCATTAGACATATTTCTGCATCTCCATAGTATACTTTTCGAGCATCCCATTCCTGCTGACGGAAGGATGGTTTGATGGGAAGTACTCTAAAATAAATGGGATTCAGTTCTGAACTCTTCCACGAATTTCCTGAGTGGCACTGGGCAATTTTAAGTCCCTTAATCTGCTTTCTACTTCACTTTTCCTTCTGCAGCAGAAAGAGGGAATTAGTATTTCTTCCCACTGTCCCTTCCCATTGTGAAAATAAGCTCATTAAAAATGTGAGGCTCATGAATTTACAGTCAAGGAAAGAAAAGGAGGAAGGTCATGAGAGAACTTGAACAAAACTACCTGGTTTTGGATGAGGAGTGCCAGGGTGTGGTGCTACCTTACTCTGGTGTGATGCTGCACGGAGGTGCTTATGCTGTTTTTGGGGGCAACTCTGGTCCAGCTTGAGTACAGATATGTTTGTACAGAGCTTGTCGAGCCTACTGCACGTAGTTCACCATGCCAGCGTTATGTCTGATCTTGCATGGGTGTGCGACCCCTCTCTTGCCTCATTTGGGTCGGTGCTGCATCTGCCCCTGTGCACATCGGTGTCTGCAGAGGCTCCTCAAGTCATCCAGGTCTCCCCGTTGTGCTAGTCACCAGTTGTTCTGGTAACGGAGCTGTATATGCAGCTACCTTGATAGGAACCAAATTGTGCTACTGCAAATGAGTAATGGTGCTTCTGTATATTTCTGAATTCTTATTTCCAATTTTGTTTTTTTTCAGAGAAACTTTATTCTTGTTTGTTAATCTGAAATAGGTCATTACAGGAGACATACACAGAAGAAAATATTTTAGTCCCTGTGTATAAAAAAAAAAAAAGCAGGTACCTACTTGTGAAGGTGAAATTGTGTAGCTTTTGATGGATGTCTCACTTAAACTTGGAAGACAGCTGCTCAGAACAAATGTATACATGGGCCATGCTTACAAGTTACACAAAAAAGTCAAATATAGTTACAAGAAATGTAGTTCTGAGATGGACAATGGTAAGTAAAAACTGAAGACAAAATACAAATGTTTCCCTGAATATATTTCCACTGTGTAACTGTCAAGAGAAAAATGAGCATGGAGAAAGGGCCTTTTTTATAATCAATTATGGCCATTGATGTATTTTTCTTCAAAAGCTCAGGGTAACTTTTTTCCTATACAGCTCTGTGAATGGACTTGTGTATAATATTATGCTTATGGTTGTACTTTTATTGAGGGACAGAACAGAACTGGCCACCTTTCCAGTTAAGAAATTCCTGCATTAAGGTGTTGGTTTTTTTTTTTGCCACAGAATACTAAGTAACTTCATATTAGTGTGCTCACATTAAAAATGAAGCAATGTCATGTAATTAATGTTGTTGTCCTTTTTCTACCAGAGATGCTAAAAGCTACTATTCAATTTTGCAAGTATAGCTGATGTGATTTGAAGATAAAGCTAGTACTTAGGCTTTTGTATTGCAAGGAGGGGAGGAGGTTGGCAGGTGTATTTGTAAAATATAACGCATCCTGTTTTTATTTTATACAGATGAGACGCCAACGAACAATTCACAGCTTGGTAAGTTAATCAGAACTCCAAGAAACATAAAGGAGGGTTTATGAGTGAAACAGAACTGAGGAGATGAACCATTTTGATTGAGCTCTATGTATTGAGTTGGAATGTTTTTTTCTTTTTGGCTTTCTTTTTGTCATTTAAACGAGTCAATACAGACATGCTGTAAAGAAAGCAGTTGGTGAATCTGGAATGCTCAGTTTAATTTGTGTACCCAGCCCCACCAACATAGCAACTTCTAATTCCTAGGATACAGTCGAAATGAAAATCTGATGCTATGACATATGAGGGTGAGGGAACATTGCAGCTGCCAGTTGCAAAATCAGACTTAAGCAGTAAAATTTACTCATGCCACGCAGGAGTAGAGCAGCAAAATGGTTATTATGGTGCAGTCCATCTCAGTTCACAGCTCAAAGTCAGAAGAACTGTGCTTTGGCTCCCGTTCTCCTGGCATTTAGCCGCACAAATTGCCTGTGGAGAAGCCTGGATAGAATTTGTGGTCTGCTAGGCCAGTGAAGGAAAAAGGCTGCAGGGGAGATCAGGTCTCTTAAGTTTTAGGGTACTTCTCCTTTGCTCACTTGGAGGACTTGTTTCAGCCTGTCAGTTACTGTTCTCTTCTAGTAACAAGGAGTAACTAGTGAGTCAGAAAGGATGGTTAAGGTAACCAGGCAGTCCATTGGACCATTTCACCTCTTACTTGCTCATAACAGGAATGAGTGGCACAAGCAACCTATCCTGTCCTCTGAACTCTAATGCTATTTGTTCCCTTGTTTTCTCAACTTAGACCACATAAAAGCATCTACTTTTCTTTCCTGGCATGGAAACAAAATTCTCCCTGTAATAAATCACCCCCTGGTGTGTTCCTATCTATGGATATCATTAAAATAATAATAATAAAAACCAAATTCTTCATTTGCTGCACACAGATTGCTGTGTTAATGGCTGATACCTTTCCTTCCCGTCCAATGAAAGCAGCAGCCCTCTCTTTCCATCCCAGAGCAACAGCCTTTCCTGTGCCTATTGCTGTCCCAGTGGAGAGTGTAGAGGTAGAGCGAGGTGGGATTACCACTGTAGTGGAGGGAAGACAGGTAAGGTCAGAAGACAGCACAACATTGAGAAGAGGAAGGCAACCTGATCAACAGAGCTGACTTTTTTCAGCTTTGGTGAGGAGGGAGGGACTGAAGATGTTGAGGGCAGGTGTCTGGTTTTGGAGGGAGCAGTCTGGTTTCCTATGTAGAAGTTACGTTCTCATTTCACCTCACTCTCCAGCACTGGTAATGGCAAACACAGATCTGATACAAACACACGTTGATGCTTTGGGTAGCACCTCCCATTCAAACGTTTTTTTTTCCCCCTCCTTCTGGAAAAGATGGTACAGGCTGGATGTGGGTGGTCTACTACCCAGGAACTGATCTGTGAACAGCCTATTGAGCTACACTAAATAGTAAATATGTTGCCTCTTCTACCTTAGAATTGATAAACATGTTAAGAAGTCTTCTGTGAAGGTGTACAGACAAACTTAGAGTAGCTTGGATATTTGATGCCTGATATTCCTGCTGAGGATTTATATATACTTTGAATTGGGATATGGATAATAATATCAGGGAAGAAATCCTTTCATTAACTTGATTAGGCCACAAATTCTTACACGTCTGCCTTGATAGTTCTTAGACAATGGTAGTTTTGCCTTAAATAGCACAGGTCAAGGTTGGTCACTAGCATATGAGGGATTATGCCTTAGAAGTGTCCTTACTGTCTCTGTCCCCCAGCGTGATGGGTATTTAAAGAACTAATGACTATTTTCAGAGTTTACTTAGATAAGATTTGCCCAAGTAGACAAGTGCTCATTCTGAAGTATGGTTTTAGTTCCTTCATTGTAATTATTCTGCATATAGGGTGTTGTAATGGAAAGATGCAAGTGTTTGGCACTGCTGAGAGATTGTAACCAGATCTTACCTGTTCTTCTTGCAGCTCATCCAAACGGACCTCCTTTCCAGTTGAACGCAGTCACCAGTGCACTGATTTCAGGCATTGTCATCCTAGGAATCACAAGCGTTTTCTTTTTTGTATGTTCCCTAACTCTTCTGCACAGAAAGTGGCCCAGCAGTTCAGTCTTGAGTGGCATCCGAAACCCAGTTTTCAACTGAAAGTGATGATTTACTTGCACTTTTTCTTTGGGGTTGCCTTTTTTTGTCCATGAAATATGATTCCATTAAAAAATAATATTAGGGCAACACTCCAGCTGTATCCAGCTTCTATTCCAGCTATTCTATCTTTGTAGATTTGCTAGATGTTGTTGTGTAGGTAAGCAGCAGTGATATTGGTAACAATCCTAGAAAATTATGAGAATTTCAATTGTGTTTGTGATCAGACGGTATGACATTATGCCCATTGGTGTGCTGACAATAGAACTCATGTCTCCAGCTTCCCAGTAAAGTCTCAAAGCTGAAGATGATAACCTTTCCAAGTATGCTATTCTTATACAAAACCTGACACATTCAGAAACATTCATAAGTTCATAAACATATACCAAGATAAGGATCACTTCTATTTTGTCATGGTATTTTTCACAAATTTGAAAAAACAATTATGTCTCAGGAGGAACTTGTTTTCATCTATATTGGCTAAAAATAACCCCCGAGAGCCTTAAAATAAGTGACTTTTGCTGATTAGTAATTTTGAAATGTTTTCTTAGGTATATCTTAATTGTGGTGACATCATGTGAAGGACATAATTTTGCTGGGTGTCTTTGAATCAAAAAGTTTAGGGCAAGCTGCAGTTTGTTCCAGGGAACAATACTGCAGTTCTTGAGGTGGAAAAAACTTTTTCCAGCAAAATCATTGAGTGAGAATTAGTGAGAGCTTTAAATCTAACTAATGTTCAGCAGAAAATTAATTCTGCACAGAATTGCCCCATCTGCAGCCTTCAGTCAAATTCTGACCCTGGGAACTGCTCCAAGGGGAGAAAAGTATTCCTTTCCTCCCCATCTCCTTGAGCAGGCAAGCTGATACAAACAAGTAATGCCCAAACTTTCTTCGTACAAAATTATTTTTGGAGCACAATTTGGCAGTTGAATAAAACTCTCATCAATATCCTAATTTGTAAGGGCCAGTTTTGCCCCACGAGTTTTGCAGTTCTCAGATGAGGCTTTCCTTCCTACCCGAAGAGTTGTAAATCAACGCTTACTTCTTTAGCAGATTTTCCACATGGATTAGACTTCTTCACTGAATGGATGAGGGGAAGAGGGCAACTGGAAGGATAGCAGGCCACAAGCAGGACCATACTGTTGACTCTAGTTAATCTGGTAAACATCAGACATATCTGAAGTGACTGTGAGTGACCGGGTGCCCTTAAACAGGAGCAGAGGGCAGTGGCATAGGTGTGTAGAATAGACAAAAATGCTGGTTCTAGAGAGGCCACAGTAGACACAACATATATTAAGCTGGACTGGATACACAGTTGGGATTTTGGTCACACGTACAGCAGTTAAATTTCATATTTCATGTACTGTACACACTGGCCTAGAAACACCTAATTGATATTTATCATCATCCTGTGTTAACCACGTCTGTGCTTTCACTGATGTGACACAACTGGATAACGATCAGGGCTTTTTGACTCTCAAGACAGAAGACAAATACAGACTTGTTCTCAGTTTTCTCTGATCCTGCAAATGCTGTATAAAGGCCTGTTGTTCGCAAAGTCCACTGTGCTGTAGTGTGGTATCCCTAACAACCAACACTGTGCCTGTTTTCCTCCAGTCTTAATACCTCAGAAACATTTTTGCACTTCAGGGGTTAGATCTGATGACATGTAAAACATGATTGTTTAATAAAATTATTTGAAACATTTCAGAATGGGTGCTTTGCCTGAACTGTTTTCCTCCTCCTGCCAAATTGTTAGTTTTGTATCTGCTTTCAGTGACCTCATTCTGCAAAGATGAAAACGACGTGCTTTTTTAAGTCAGTTGGATAAGAGCTTTCAATCTATAGGATAAATTCATGTAAGTATAGCTTTACTGGCCTTTAAAGGAGGATGATAAACTCTGGAGATTTATATCCCTGTCTGGGGATAAATAAATTCAGGTGATCTGTATTAATTTACTCATAAAGACAACCACAGAAATTCCATTAATGTAATTGCTACTTCATAACCAGTAGCTTTAGCTGAAAGTTTCCAGTGATGGAGGTAGCCATTACCATCCCTAGTAAGTTGTTCCAGCAGTTAATTGCTGTCTTCAGTACTTTTCAAAAGACTTTCTAATGTGAATGTGCTGAGGTTAATTTGCCAGCTATTAGAAACTGTTGTGCCTTTGTCTGCTAAACTGAGGGAGACCCTTTTTCTAAAACAAATCTCACATAATTTGGTTAAGACCGCAGGGGGAAAAAAAAAAAAAAGAATAGTGTTGCAAAAAAAAAAAAAAAACCAACCCAAACAACAAAAACAAAACAAAACAAAACAAAACAAACAAAAGTTGCTGATATAATGTCGTACTTGTCCTATTTCAATTTGTCTGCATTTCTGGATAGTCAGTTTGTTGCTTTTATACAGATAAAAGTAATTTACAGTAATTAACAAAGACTTGTTGACCAAACTTTTTGAGACTTGGTCAGCCTATTACAAAAATGGAGTTGTTATCCAATAATGTAATATACAAAATGTTTTCTGTATGTTAGTTAAAATTTCTGGAGTGGTTTGCTTTTGTGAAGAACCAGATAAGGTGATGTTCTTTGTGTAACTTTTCCTTATGTGAAAATTATTAGGTATCTAAGGGTGATCCCATACCAGTTAAATTAGTGGACAGAGTTTCCACAGTCATCTGTAGGCATCGTTACTGAGCTCGCTATGGACTGAATGTATTTGTCATTCATTAAATGAGATAAATGCCTTTTCCTTCTTGGTAAAGCAACATGGAGAGTCACAGGTTGAAAATGATGTCTAAACCCAGGCTTATTCATTTGCAGGTCTGACATGAACGATTTTTAGGGGAGGTGAAAACTTGAGCCAGGCTGCCCGAATATTTCTTAGCAGAGATGACTGACTGTATTTGTAAAAATGTCCCCATCCTGGTTTGTTTCAAAGTATACAGGTATTTATGAACGTGTGGAGGCCATAACTTGTGACCTCACAAGATTCAACAGATTAGGTAGAAGTTGGGTGAATGTGCATGAAGTTTACACCATCCTTTTTGAAGGTCAGGATGTTAGGTGAGAGGGAAGGGAGAATGGATTGAAAGCATAAATTACATACAGTGGGCAGGGACTTCTGGCATTCAAGATACCAAGTTATAAATGCAGCAGTGAATTAAGAAGACACTTTGGATGAAGGAACTCTGGCCAGACATATATTGGGAGTCTCACAGGTGTTAAGTGAAACTGAATTACTAAAAGAATAGTGGTTCTGCTAATAAAATCACTTCTATTAAGGGCGCCCATTACATGTGTTTAAATGCTGTTTTTGCACAGAGGTCAGGTTTCTGTAGGTAAGCAGTCTTTGAAACCCAGATGGGGGGTCAGATGGGAAAGAAGCTGAGTGAGACTCTAAGCTTAGGTTTAAATCCAGTAGAACTTAATAAAACTATAAAGAGGTGAAAACACTTCCTAGGTTCCTGTCGTTGTAAGAAATAAATGGCACATATGACTGGAGCTGTGCACACCAGTACTTGGGATAAATTCTGCTGATATTTGAGAAACAGGCCTTGGCAAGGGAACCTGAAAGTAAATCACATTTCCCACCTTATTTGGCAGGCAGTATTTTTTACTCTTGATGCCTCTTAGACTCCACAAATATGCCAGAAGCATCAGCCTTACCCTGATAAGCTACTCATCTCTTCATCTGGAGGAGATACAGGCAGGTGTATTGTGAGAAACTAGGAAATGTTACAAGTGGGGCAAATTGGTCCTTCCTTAGGTTACTCCCAGGTTTTGTTTCAGTGCCACTTGGACCTTTCCCACACCTTTCAGGAAGAAAGAGGTAGGATGGAGGTGGAAGAGACAGCAGAGAGTGGCTCTGTACAGTCATTAGTGGCTGGACTGGTTGTTTGATACACTGGTGGTTTCTGCATCATATCATGGCTTTTTGCCATAATGTCTCTTTTGAAAAGTTTTGATAACTTTTTTGCTATTCACTAGTTAATTAACTCTTTCTTAGTCTTTAAAAGCATATGCTTGTACAATTAGGGACCACATCCTTGAATAGTGAAATTGAAAACGTAAGGCAGAAGAGTAACTTATTCTGTGAAGAAGGTAAACCAGTTACTGTTGTCAAGCTGAGGAGGGTTGCTGGCCAGCCAGGTTTCAAATGCTGATACTGTATTTATAATCTCTGCTTTTGGACTTCATGGTGTAGTGTGAAAGTACTTTGTGCTAAACCAGGATCCACACCGGTCCCTGTAACCAAGAAATACCGTTTAGCAATGCCCCAAATGTTTTGCAAGTTCACTTGCAGTCCCCTGCTAAAAGGGGAAATCTTCAGTGCTTTGGACTCATAAGATGGTGGTGGTTCTAGAGACACACTATTCTAGCCTGAGCGGACATCATATTCTCTGTTTACATCCTGAGCTGTCTTGCTTATGTTTAGATTCTGGGTGTCTGAGGTGCATTTATTAAACTTGCTTGTTTTGCATAAACAAAATAAAAGATAAAGGCTTGCTTCAGCATGTTTTCAACCCCTTTCCCTGGACTGGAGAATGAATTGGGAGAGGCCTGGTGTTCCTGCCAGCAGTACACCGTATTTCCCATCAAGATGGAGAGACTGAATGATGTCCGTTACAGGTATTGTTTAGAGTTGGTGAGGCAATGTCTGCTCTTGTGACTTTTTCCCTTGGTGCTTTAATCCCCTGTCTCTTGATTCAGGCTGATGTCTGCCTCTATTAAGTCAATTTCATTATTCTTAGGAGGTGGTAACATTTGTCTGCTCAGAAGCTGTTTTGAGGGACAGGCATCATTTGAGGGTCTTTTTTTTAAATTGTTTTTTAGAACACACATTTTACTTTTTTTTTTTTTTTTTTTTTTTTTTTTTTACCTTATGGAAAGGAATTAATGAACCGGATTGATCAGTGTGACCTCAGGTTACTTTATATAGCAGATATTCCTGATTTATTTTTTCCTCTCCAGACTGTAGTGGATAAAAATAATGATCATGTTAATTCAAATGAATGTAAGGGCAAAAGTTCAACGTGGGATCTGTACTGGATGATTCATTTGGCACATACGAGCGTGCACGTTGACCAGGTGTGTATTCTGCCCAGGCTTGCGCTGATTCTGGAGCCTGTGACTTGTCAGGAGGTAAGTACTTGCCGTTCGCTCACGGTTACTCTCTCACTTGCAGAGTCAAACCCTGCTTCTGGATGTCAGGGGCTGCAGACCTGAGTCAATGCCATGTGGTGGAGTAATGCCTGCGGGGCTGCCCTCCCTCCCCCCCCAGACGCGGGCTGGTGGGGTGCGTGCTGTCGGGCACAGCACTGTAACTGGAATGGCCAGAGCCATGAAATGGGCG